AGTAGCCCGAAGAAACGAAATATAAATACACATAAAACATTTGGACCCCCCGTTTGAGGGGTAGGGCAGAAATAGATGTTTAATCCTCTTTAATCCATCACAACTGTCAGAACTATTGGGTTACCTCGATGGCCTTCACGTGATTCCTACTTTTCCGCGATTCTAGATTACTACTTTGTTAATAAACCCGGCAAAAAGCAAGCCACAGAATGTGAAGATCGTAGGCGGAAGTCATTTTCGTATATCAGGTCAATAGAGAAAATGACCAGGAAGCGACTTCGATTGATGAGGCTGGTCGCCTAATTTATAGCGAACCGAAGGTTCGAAGTAGGGTTCTGATTCAGCAGTTCAATTGATTGCGAGTTTCATCTAATGATGCTTCTTACATTTTTTACCGTATAATTCCTCCTACGTTTATTACATATTCTACTATGACTACTACTACTACTAATAATTGTAATTTTATTATTCCAGCAGATATTAATTTAAGAAAACATTATTCCAATCAAAGCATAATGTACTTAAGATCTTGCGAAATTCTAGGATTAAATTATACTACGTTAAGAACTTCTCTGAAGGTGGGTACAACACGGAACGAGTTATAGATCGCGGTGACCTCAACGGGTACGTTGACCCGCAGAGTTCACGAAGATGTAAACGATAAAAAAATTCGATATTCGTTATTATGCAACGGCCTAATAACGAGCTGGGCCCTTTTCGTCGATGTTCCAAGAGTTTGCCGGATGAGGAACGAGACGCCCGCAACATGTAACATATACGAGCCACGCACGACGTGCACGTGCGTGAGTTGACCTCGCTCTGGCCACGCACCTCCCGCATGGCTCTCCAACGATTCGCGTGCTACGATGCTTAACGAGAGACCTTCGCTTCGAGAGAGAGGAGACGTGGAAACCGCGCGTGTGTCGCGCACACGCAAGGATCGTGCGTCTCGATTTTTCCTCTTCTCCTCTCGCGACTCTAACATGCGGAGAAGTTACTCTAAAGCCGCGTATGTACTTCTAGCAAACCCTCGTATCCTATCGATATGTATACACAAATGATTCCTCAAGTTATTCAAAGAACGATTACTAATTTAGAGATAAGGAAAAAGCTCCGACGCATTTTTGGCTCAAAATATGTTCCTTTCGAAATTTTTTCAAATAAATATCATTTCTATTATTCCTGTCGTATAAATATTTCCTTAATCAACCCCCAAAATGGTATCATTCACAAAATAATGATTACTATAGAAATACAAGATTTAACAACTATAGACGGCGAGCGTTGCACTGTCGCGTGACAAAATTTACTTTCATCATTATCATTACTGGGGCACCGTATCACTAGGTGATGTGCTAAGGTGTTACGATACGCGGGTATGATACAAGTGGTTACCAGGCTTTAGAGCCCTTGCCTTCTGTTTCATCGATCGCGAACGCGTAGTACTCTCGCGTTCTCTTATTTACTACATCGTCGATTATTTGGTATATAGCTGTAATTGGTAAAAGGGTCTCTTGTAGGTCCAACGGTTTAGAAATATTTAAGAAAAAAAACGACATTTTTTGCGAAAGGTTTGCTGTTTCGACGGTAGAACAATCGGATTTTATCAATACTAATAATATGCCCATTAATTATACTTAACTTATTAAATACAAAAATTAGAAGAAAAATTTATAGAACCTTTCTTATATGTATTTTCCATTGATTCATGTCTTGTGGCTACTACTCTTTTCACCACGATCTCCTCTCTCTCTTTTTGAGCCCGATCATGCAGGTATTCAATTATTATTATTATTAGTTACACGTGATCAGAAATTGTTTCACGATCTTGCATACGAAATACAAGTATACCAGATCTTTTGTCTGTACATTTTGCAATAAACGAATGAATTTGGAAGGAACGTTCTATCGTATATTGCATGTTATTATTTTATATAATCGGAAGGTGAAATGAAAGTCCACGTGACTGTTCCAGCCTTTACTTATTCGACTAGCCTTGATTCAACGTATTCTATATAATTTGGAGTAAGCTACAACCGTATATTTACGGTTGGACAATGGAGTAAGGAGGAATTGGAAACATTCTTACAGAAAAGTAAAAGCATTCAACAGAGAAAGTACCTATATCGTACACGTATACCTTTGACAATTCATATGCATTTTCATCGGTATTCTTCTTCGAGCGAGAAAATTCGCAGTGTATCTAATTGCAAGTATGTACACATCTGCGTGTTACTATCGCGGCTTTGAAGAAACCGCGCGATTATTGGCAATTACATTTTAATCTATTTGCATATGAAAACGAGGGTAACATGAAATTTAGCTATCTAAAACGTTGGAATGGTAATTGGTAGTCGCGTGACAGGTTTCACGAAAAGCTGGAAAGGACAAAGAAAATAGAGCGGGTGGGAGGGAACGCACGAGTGCAACAGCGTTTCGCCTTTAACTTTCCACCGATTACATTATGCTCGCGCAATATTTCGCAATCGCAAAATCGAGAAACCTATCGGCAGCAGGCGAGTAGAGCCACGAGGCTGCGTCAAGGTTCACGTTTTCACGAGGGGAAAACGTTCGTTAATAGATCCCCAACCGTGCGAGACTGCCGGCTGTGGATTAGATAAAACGGCACGGCCCTGGCGAGGCAATTTCTTCATCTAATCTATCGGGATATCGATAGTTCCGCTATCAGTATTTTGACAAGAGAAAGCACGAATATTTATCGTGTTCGTTCTGCTCTCGAGTAATGCGCATAACAGCTGTTCGCTGCGGTGGGGATGAGGTTGATAGTGAAATGAAACTTTTCGTTTCTAATGTATTGGTAATAAGCAAATCGACCGTGGAGTACGTACGCATTAAGAAATATTAATTACGGTTGTATGTAGCAACCAGTTCTTCGCACGGTATCTTCCAATGAATCATAAACGTCGTGATATTTATTGAGACAGCAAATTGCGTGGATTAATGAAATAAAACAATAAATCTGTCGTGGCAATAAAAAATTATAAATATGCGCAAGAGTTTTTCTACTAAATAACATTGATATGAGTTTTAATGAAATCTATGTGAGCAATCAAGGAAATCATTATCACCGCCTATCATCGAGCTACGATTGTATTCATCGCTGACAATGCATGCACACGGGAAAGAAATTTCCTCCCTTGCGCAAAACGCGTTCGCTGCAAGGCAGTAATACAATATGTATTATAATACCGTATGTACTCACGCGATATCATTGTGAAAAAGTTAAGACTCGTTTATCTCGTTGAGCACACAATGTACATATGTACTCTTCGGTAAATACATTTTCTGAAGTAAAATCAATAAAAATTACGTTAGTTATATATGTTCTATTTTACTGAGAGTATATCCTATAAATTGTATTAACCGTTGATGTGATTTCGGATTTTGTTTAGCCTAAATGTTGAATTATTATTTTATTTATGCATCTTGTCATAGTCTCAATTAAAATAACATAGTAATCTTATAATCCCAACGATAACATTTTGAATTCGCGTTATTGATTTTCGAAAAATGTTTCCATCTTTCATTATCTTAAAACGATAAGAAAACAGCGGTGGGTTTTAAAAATTTTGGTTCGTGAGATAACAGGAATTGATGCTCTATAAATAAACCAATTGATGAACTAGAACTTGAGATATCTTGTCAACACTCCCAATAAAACCGAACGAAATGGAATTACAATTGGGTTCACTTAAAAAAATGAATTACTTATTTGGAATACCCATAAATGCATATGCTAGAACCTAATACAAAAAGATTAATAGTTCTTCTAAAGAAAATTCCTAAAGATCATTAAAGAAATGGTATTGAGGACCAGAACACCCCTTTAATTCGCGATAACAGGATGCACACCTATGACTTTATCGCGTGCCATGTGTCGACGCACCTATCCGATTGCACACAAGCCGAGATCGCATCTATCGTGTATGTACGTATAGACAGATACGAGTTTCCTGGCCACGCGTCGACACAGAAATCGAATCACGACAGAGTTAAAATTCACAGAGGATTACGCGGCACGTTTCAATAACCGTTTTGCGAATTCGTCGTTATATCCATTTGAAATTATGCGTGAGACAATGCCTGGGAGGTGCAGAGGCGGGAGCGATTTACGGTTCCGCTGGCCTCGAGCGAAAGGTGAACGATTCACCGACACGACGTAAATATTATTATGCCACTTTTTTACGACGAGTCGATCTCTCAAGTTCGACTTCTCCAGTCAATTACGCAGTTAAACATTTATTTCATTATACGCGACAACAGTGGGTTGCGTAGATACTACGACGTTCCTTCCCCAGGCGAAGCTCGTTACTAATTTACTAAATAAACAACGCAACGGGCTTACACGTGTATTGAGGAACTGCGCAACAATCTCAGCTTACGAATGCCGATGGTTATTTTTGGAAGTGGACCGACGTTATTTCGGACCGAAGTATCTCATTTTTTTTATAAGTATATGTCTCAGAAAATCAAGGCACGTATTCGTGAAACGTTTGCCCGTTCGTATACGCGAAAATTCGACGTTTCTGAACGGCTGCTGGGCTGAGATCGCGTGTTACAGCATATAAACAAACAACGCATACAGCTACATCCCCACGCTTCCAACTTCAAATCTACATCATTCTCCTTTTCCACATTCACAGCTAAGTTGGCGTAGAGTCTCCACACGGAAGCGATAATGGCGTCGAGGCTGATTCTAGACATACGCACGCGCATTGCCATTCTCAGCTAATGATACCGCTATTTCTTATTTTGAATTCGATGTTTCTATATAAATATTATTCACGCTTCTGTCTTCTGTATGAATTAGACATTTAAACATCGTAATAAGTACTTAACCTCAAATGAGGTGACAGATATTGCTTTCGATCATACTTTCGATCGAGTATCTATTGTACAGTGCACCGTGTAACTTTAACCTCGGCTATTAACTCTTATTTTAAATTATGTGTGAAAAGAACTATTCGATATCCACTTACCACTAATCCGAAGAATCAGCTCATCCCAGGTGTCTATATAGATTCATTGAAGAATAACAATGAATTTTATGTTGTATGCAATCATTGTCGCAAGCAAACAGGATACATGCCGTCAACAACAGTATGAACATTCGCACACAATACACGAAATTTGTTCGAATCTTCTGCAAAATTTATCAATATATTAATGAAGCTGCCACTTATAATGTAAATACATACTCTAAAAGGACCGCGGAACGTATAAAACTAAATAATTTAACATGTAATCACCAGATGGTTAAAAACTACCGCATACGTCGACCGCGCCATCTTCGTAACTGTAGAAGATGGCGCCGCGATCGCGGCGAATGAACAGCTGAGTGGCGAGTGGAATATCTGCGTAGGGAGAACGCATGGCAAAGCAGACGTTCTGTCCTCCGTGCCCGACCAGGCTCCGTCCGAGGAACTCGGCAGTAAACAGCTGGCGACGCGATGCGTCAGAGTAAAATGTCGAATGGGACTGCGCCGAGCTAGTTGCCCCACTACCACCGTCGTCTCTTCGTCTTTCTCTTTTCCTCTGATACGGTGCGAGGAGCTTCGCAGAAGTGAACAGTTCTTACGGGCAAGCGTTCGGCTCATTCGCGGTTGAAAATTGGGCAGCGACGTGATTGAAACGCGAGTGTCGACAACGGGTACGTGAACGTGGAACACAAACGAGAACGTAAAGCGGGCAGAACGAGAGAATATCCGTGGCGAAAGTGGAGTTTCTTTGTTCCGTTGCTTCGATCTCTGCGCATACGTTCCCGTGCGAGTGGCGCAGCATTGTTTGTGTGCTTCTGTACGTCACTCTCGGCGTATACACGGCCTCGGTCGCCGATACAAAACCGAGATCCTGGGCGTTTGATCCCGTGTTCACGGACGAGCCACGGAATAAAGCTTGGTCGGTGTCGTGGTCCGATTCGTATCCAAACAAGCGCGACGGCGACGGGAAAGGACTCGGAGAAAGGATCCTCTGGCCCTTGGTATAGGCGCGAGTGTTTTGTTTTGACGAGCAGCTGATCCGAGGGACTCTACTCATTCGTCGCGTCGACTACGGTCCTCCATCGCTGCAACGGTGACTCTTTTTTCCCCAGCGATTTTACTTGCGATTCGTGTTCGTCCGCGTATATAAACACGACGGATTATTTTACTGCTCGATTTGCTCACGCACCGTATTTATTAAAGCGTTCGTTGAGCCCGAGATAGCAAGAGTTTGTAAGTCCGTTACATCACGAAAACCAGGAGGCACGATCGACAACCTATTTCAGTGCAACGATCATCGATGACAGACGGACCAACAACGCAATCAAGAATCGTTACACTGTGATTAGTAATTCTACGCTCGAGCGATCGATCGTATGGGACCCCTCGGAGTGTGCCAGTTGAATATTTTGTTTCCAAGAGACTCTACGTTCCGGTTCGTTCTGCGGTTGGAACGAGAATCATACGCAATCAGAACCGTCCTGTAAATGACGATCGTGCGTTCCAACATATCCAATCTACCGATCTGATCGGTTCTTTAAGAGACTGTATACAAAATAGTTTCCCTCCTAAAGGCTGTGGGATTTATTTCTTTAGTTACCAATGATCTCGTGATACAACGCTCTTTCCTCTCGTTTTGCTACTCGCACGCGAGACCTGTCAACGAATCTCCAAAGAGGTTTGCCGAAGCAGCCAGAAAGAACCTAAACTACGATCTTCGCTGCTCTTCTCCGAACCAATCTACATTTACACAAAATATTATGTATATATAAAGTACGTGCACGCGCATCGTACATATACACACATATACATCGCGCCGCGTTCGTTCAATCTCTCGGGCTTATCCGTGGTTCCTCTCCGTATGTTCGTCGGTAGGCGCGCGCGACTTCAACTTAACGTAACTAGGTACGCAAAGCATCGTTCGGAGACACCCGTCATATATTTAAAGGGGGTGAATAACTAGGAAACAAAGTGCGCACGATACGCAGTCGACGACGTGACGCGGCACGACGCGAGCCTAGTGGCGAGTGTAATCGCGAGAAGAGGAGCTGGAGTTTGCGTGAACCGACGACGACGACCAACGGATTGGTGATCGATGCGGCATAAACCCGAGGGGGCCGTACTCGCGAGCGCTTGGGAACGAGGGGTACGGCCCCGATCGAGCTGACTGCAGGGGTCGGCCCTGAGGTAACAGCTCCTCTTCATCATCGTCGTCGTCGTCGTTGTCGTGGTCGTCGTCGGGCGTCGCGAGCCCCGGGCGCCAAGCACCACCGGATGTTAGTGGGGTCCTTCGGTTGGGCTGTTGGCCGTTTCATTCTTCTCGTCGGACTGGAAGAAGCTTGACCAGCCCGAAAATGCTCTACATATTCCACGTGGACTCCGGCACCACCATCACTTTCGACATCAAGTTGGCGCTACAAACGTAAGTCCTATCTCCAGTACGTTTGTTTTGTTTACTCGTGTTGCTGTTTATCTTTGCAGTAGGTTAAAATTCCTGCGTTATGCGTCTTCTGTCGATACGATAGATTTTCCCTCGCTTATTTGTTTATTCGCTTATGACATGACGACTAATTTGATTAATTATTATCGATTAATTTGTAAATACCGATTGCGATAATGCATTTCATTTACCCTGGAGCTATTGGTTTTTCAATATCGAGTGGAGGGTCTTCTAATCTATATTTTTACTTAGATAAAGCGGTTCTGTGAAGATACATTCGAGACCCTTTTATAGAAGACTACACTTTTGCAGCAGTTCTTCATTCTTTAAATATTGAATGTTTACTTGAAATCTGTGGGCACGATCTCGTGTACACTCTCAACTTGCAGTTATCAATAAATCGAGACAAATATTTTACGGTACTTAGATGTATTGTCTTTGCTCACGTTCCTTATTCGAGAAATTATAAGGCAGCTCTCTTAGTTGGCGATTGTTCGTTATGAACAAAAACACGATAGGCCATTAAAGCTTAGCCCAATAAATCCACGACGGGTTTATTTTTCGCATTTCGTCGAATGTAGGCCAAGTGGCTCGGATTCGCACGCTGCGTTACGCTGATTTAATTAAGGCAACGTACTGTGTCCTTCACACAAAGGATCTCCATAATAACTTTTTGTACTCTCTTCTCCTCTTCTTGTATGTGCATGCACTTCCTCGTTTTCAACAGACCCGTTGTCAGTTTTGTATTTTACAGTTTCATTTTTTCCTTCATCGTGTCTCTTGCTTCTACTATTTATGATATAATACTGGTACGTTCGATATTATTCTCAGATTAGACTCCCTCGTTAAACTCTCGCCGATGGTTATCGGACCGAGCCTACACTAGCTCGCTTTGAAACGCTCGCCCGCCACGGAAACTCATTTCTTTGCGCGCAAAAATTCCCGGTATATCCACATCCTTTCGCGGCCGGTTCACGCGAGTCGCTTTTTGCTATAAACGGTTGCCTCTTTCAAACGGATCCGTTTCCTCGGCTATCTCGTTTATCGAATAAAAGTACATGTTGACGCGTTGAAACGTTCCGTTCTCCGCTTCCCGTATGTTTCAACCCTTCTCTATTTATTTTACTCGTTTTTTTTACTTTCGAACATCGCGTTTCCCATCGTTCGCATCGTCGACCGTGTGTCTGCAATACATTGGTACATACATAGTAACTCTTCTCGGCAATCGTCCACGCGATTGCTCGTCGCTGGTCGTTTAGCAACTCCTTGTGTATCGCGAACAGCGACGCACCACGTCGTGGAGAAGTGTCAAGGATCCCTCGAAGGTGAACAAATTGCAAAACCGTATGTCTATCGCGGACGAACGTGGGCACAGATACAGAGGCCGAGCTCGAACGGATTTTCTCTCTGGTTCGAGTGACCAAACGACACGATGAACGAGGCAGAGAGAAAGATCAAGCGCAGGTGGCTACGAAAATAGTAATGAAATCTCTCGTGTCGAATGTGGGCGACCATTGGCACGTGGCCGCTGTACATGCACGAGTCTGACCTGTGGGTAAACTCGGCCAAGTCCTTAATGCGAACGTTGCTGCATCCCTTGGAAACTAGTCGGCTTTAAACACTCTTCTCTCGGTGACTCGGTCCACTTTTGCGATCTACGATGTACAGCTACGAACGCTTACGAAACTCTGTTTAAAATGTTTCTGTGTTTTCTGTTCTTGCGAGATTCTATGATAAAATTTAGATACAGAAAGAAAATGCTCGTACATCGGAAATTTTAGTACAGTATGTAGAAAGAAATGCCGAGTTTAAGGAAGAGTTTATATGTCAGAAATATCGTACGAAATCAAACTGCACGTCCTATTAACTGTGGCATATTAAGATTACAAAAACGATTATAGCACAACTCACTCGAGTGCCAACTGCACTGTTCCGGATTTACGCTATAACTGACTTTACATTTTGTTTGCAACCTCCGAGATCCTAGATACTGGCCGTCGTTCCCAGTACTGTTATTTTACAATTTGACCTGACTTGACCTCATTAAGATGTCCGATTTTTATCCCAAGGCCAGTATGGCAATAAATGTCCACATGTTCGCACCCAAGTCGACTGAGGTCTTTTCCGGCCTCGTATCTACCTAGGCTACACATATCGTTAAGAGCCTATAAGTAGAATCTTCCTTTTATAGAGTGCGGAAGAATAAATCCAACTCGTTTAGTTATTCATAATTTTATTTTTGCAACAATTTTTGAGAAATCAATTATCGATACCATTAGCACAGTCTTTCTTTAAATACTATACTCAGTTCGTTTCACGGATACAAAACTCTAAACTTTTTTTGAATTTTTTGAAAGGTTGGCCGCAGCTTCACCGGTGTAATTCTAACCGTTCCAGGCGCAACGATTGCTTCAAAGATTTCATGCTTTTGTAGGGTTTAGCACAGACCCTGGCCTCGAAGATAGACCAGATGCTGTAGTCCATTAGTCTTTCGACGTCGGTTTCCATTGAGACCCCGGGATTTCGGTCGTCTCGCTTTTTGTTGATCTTGCGTTTCCTGGAAATGTTCACGGTGCATTTTCTTCCTTTTCCAGGACGCCTTCGTCCCTAAACTTGTTAAATCTTTTAAATGTTCTGGAGACAATATCTTTACAAACACCAAGTGAGCGAACAATGTGCGAGTTTACGATATAATTCCGTATATGACTCCCAATAGCGGTACGTTTGTTTGACATTCTGAAAACACATACATAATTCACGCAAAAGCACGACGAATCCAATGGAATAAAATTTATTTCACTGCGTTACCCTACTTTTGTCCCGGAAAAAATTTAATTGGATTTCTTTTGCCACACCCTGTATATGAATTGATTCTTTCTGTGAACATTAAGGAGAACTTTCGTTTCGACGCGATCCAACAACACGGTTGTTCCCCCGGAACGGGAACGGTTGTTAACGGTACGAACACCCGGAGAAAAGTTCACCGTGGAACGAGGCTAACGCGAATTAGGAAAATAAAACTGGCGAACGCGAGTTCTCGGCCTATCGCCAATGAAGAATACCACGGTGGTTTCGCAATTCTACACGCACGTAGTTAGGCTGTGTACAACATCCATTATTCCGATTAAACCGCGTTACGCTTCACATACCTCCAGATGAGTCCTGAGCAAAACGCGTTTTATCCAGGTGAAAAGAAAGTCCGACGAATTCAGGTCTCAGGATCGCTGATCGATCTGGCCTCCGCCGCCTCTAATCGAGCATCACGCAGTTCCGTCTCTTTAAGATCTAGTGTTGCAACTAATCCATTTGGATAATTGTATGGCATAATTGCTTGTCGTTAAATCATTTAATGATAACATAATTTCGAATTATGAAAGACACTCGATTTTGATCTCTAACTCAAAATTCGTATGTAACGAAACGCAGCTCGAAGGATTCCAAACGCTAGAAAAGGCGCTTGGTCGCAGATACCTCCAATATTTGTGCATTAAGATAGCGTGGTCGCGGCGGTCACCGACCCCCGTCGAGTCGTCGAGGCAATTAACGATGTGTGTCGATCCAGCGTGGCGCCTTTGCTCCGTTGCGTTTGCTTTTATCCTCGCACCCGCGCGCAATTACAAAGTGCACCGCTAAAACGCGCGAGAGTAAGTACACCGTGCGCCAGCGTGATCGCGATTTATTCTGGGTTTAGATGATCGATCGTTTACAACTGCCGCAACGCGTGCCGATTCGATCGTCCGAAACCGCGCAAACACGCCGGAAACTCGCAAACAAAGCACCCACTGTATTTCGTTGCCACTAATCGGAATTATAGTTTTAAACACGGTTCTGCAGATGTTTATCCTGCGTAACTATCTTTTGAAATAGACTGCCGATTTGATGAATTTATGAGAGAACTGTATATTTACAGAAATTACTCTGCACGTAATGTATAAAACTATATTATCACTCAAACATTTCAATATACACTGTGCTTTTCCTACTTAGTTTATTTCAATGCATTTTGCGTGCAGTGTTTATATTTTCCGTACATTCAATTTCCTTGTAAATGCATAATACCTAAAAATCGCTGGATCATCCACGTTATTTGCGTTTTGCGCGAAGGCAGGATTCGTTTTATCTAGTTTGAAAATTGCATTGTAGATTTCCTTTGCCTCGCGAATTTTATCGTCAACCCTGCTGTCCTAGCAGACCCGCGTCGCGAATAACGCGCACGATGGCCATAAACTAGGCGCAAATGGAATCGGATCGTGCATTTGCGTGCGAATTGTCATGAACACTTTACCAAGGTTGAATAACAGATATGGAGAGCTCTTTGTTCAAGTCGGGGGCGACTTCTACAAAGTTGTATCCCAGAGTAATTAAGGAATAAATAAACTCGGTATTTAAATCGGAGACGGACATCCGAATTTTATTGCCGAATTTCTCGTTTGCCGTGAACATTCTGACATTATTCCAAGTTCCTTCTTTTTCTTTTTCTCAGCGACTTCAACCTCACTGGATATGTTCTCTGTTACCTCGATGAATATCACCTTGACATAATTGCCATTGTTGTAACTCGTAATTTTATCATCCTCGGACTAATTAAATTACGGATCATGGATTAATCGGTTACCGTTGTTGATCGACGTCGACGCACGAGAATGAACGGCCGGGGGCCGCGGGGATACGCAGGAGAGTGATCGCATTTGAGATCGAAAGTAGGGGCTCGGTTAAGTATCCGTTCGGAACACGATTTTCTTTCTTTTCTACGCTCTCCTGCGCCGGTTGGTCGGTTTCCATCGCGAATTACGGAAACGCATCAAACGGCAATTACTATCGCTGTGTGAACGCCTTGCGAGAACCAGGTCGGCCAGTTGAAGCCGGTTAACAGAGTGTTTTCTGGCCAGAAGGCGAGATCTCGCGTACACCAGGCTAGATTATACCTACTCCGCGTTCAGCCACGCAGGAGAGAAGTCTTCCAAGTTTCCCCAATTACTCCGACTTTTGTTCGCTCCTCTAATTGCGAAGCAGGCGGTCTCTCTGATATGGGAACAGATGGATAATCTCGACCTTAATCGCGGCATCGACGACGCTGAAGCTGTACAACCGCCTCGGTCTATCGTTCAACTTATCTTGTACCATCTGAGATCGTTTCCAAGTAGGAACCGAGCGTCTATGAACGATCTTGTTTTCATAATCGTGCCTCACGATATTCGACGCGGTGCACGAACCTGTAAATCCCTGATGATTTAAAACGCAATCAATTTATTCTTATAAATTCTTGAGGAACTCGAAGGTTCCTCATGGCTCGTGTACCAATAGCTCCAGTACAAATCCACCGACTATTATCAATTCCTTTCTCATTATCTCACCTATTGATAAAAATGCACTTAATATAACTTTCCATTATTTTTATGCAGTGTCTCCCAGCTGAAGGAAGCGATCGAGAGAGAATGCGGTGTGGTCGCGGCGAACCAGGTGCTCTTGATGAGCGGAGGCGAAAGCCTGGATCCGTCAGCGCGTGTGTGCTCCTACTCGGCCGGAACCGACACGAACCCGATCTATTTGTTCAGCACGTCCGCCATTGAGAGTCACGTTCCACCCACGTCGTGCATAGATTACGGTTCTGGTGAGTGACGAACTTCTTCATGTGTGAATTTCTTTAACTATCCCGACAAGCGCTTCGCCAAGCTTTTCTTATTTCCTGCTTAACTGCGTTTTTACGATCCTCATAATGGAACGTTACTTTTATGTTCAAACAATGTAAAACGCATGAAATAAAAGCTTGGAGGAAGACGCGAGTACGTTTTCTCTTCAACGATCCGTAAAATTAAAATTTGTAGGGAACAGGTGAAATGAAATACTGCACTGATATACATTTAACAAAGATAACTTTATTATAAAATACTGAGAAGGCACGTCTGTCTGTACATATTCTCCTATTGTATCATCGTTTAATTTGTATCTATTTATACACAATGCTTTATTTAATGATTCAGTAGTCTTTCAATTGAAATGTAGAATATCTATAGAATATTTATTGGATTTTTTTGACGGATAATAAGTGCAATACTTGAAAATGCAAAGGGATTTATGAAAGGGGGTATACAATGAAGCAGAGTTTGCTCGTTCATAATGCAGCGGTGATATGATACGAAGATTTGATACAAGTGGATATGCACCTTAAGCGAAACATTTGATCTGCAATCGAGGCCCAATCACGATACGATCACGGTCCGTTGATGGTGAACGTTTATTGAATGCGGTGAAGCGTGATTGGGAACGTGGATGTTGATCAGCGCTAGCTCATCTGATGAACGGTAATGTTTAAACGGGAACCCGTTCATGTCGTACGGAGGCTTGCCATCAGCCTCGTTAGTAGAGTGACGATCAGCGAATCGAACAGAGTTTCACCTATTCTATTATTCCCTTTGAAATTCTCTTATCTCTTTTCATTTATCATTCCTATCAGAGCCCCACATCATAGACAAAAGTTGCACACTTCTATGCAGAAAGTTCAGTACGAGTGAATCTGATTTAAAATTCTTCGGTTCAGTTAGAATAACGGAAAATGTTTGGTGCTTTTCATGAGCGAGTCGCTCATCGTCGTAGTCTGTGTGTCACACTTCCCATGGTTCCTCGTCGAGGAAATCGCGAGTGGACGCGTCGATATCTTCGCTCGTCGCCCGTCTAGACACGCGGCGCGTCCGAGGAATCGGGTCACCCTTGTTTTTCTCCACCTGGGCCCTAGTCGGGACGCCTTCACTTCGCGTTTCCAACGCGTCCCGGCGCCTATCTCCTCATTCGTTGGCTAAACCACACAAGCGTTAATCGTGTACAATCTACGTACCGTTAAACGCTTATTATGCGTTCAGTCAGTTATATCGTGCCTCCGGATCATCGTATATTCCAGTGACGTTACAAGCAGGCCCTCCTCCTGAAGGGAATGCAAGGAGGACAGTGGTGTACATCTACAGCTGCGTAGGTACTGTTGGTCTTTTAAACAGAAACCTGAGGAGGTCGTCCTAAGTCTTATACCTGAACTGATCCTTCGAAATCATAGCCTATTGTGTTGCGGAGTCTCCATCTGTTACATTAGGTAAGAATTTCTTTCTTTGTTAATCTTTCGAAGAAAGGACTTCGTAACGATCAACATTCCATCGTTGCCGAGGGGCCCTAGCTGTAAACTGTGCCATATCGATGACAGAATCTAACTATTGCCAGGAACCTTCAAAAAGTTTGCCAACTGCGAACTCGCAGACTGATTCTGCGTGTATCGTGTTCCAGTAAATCTTATTTACGGTCTTATCAGATAAAAAGTTGTTTTAAACAACGTTTTGGAAATTACATCTGGTTTTCCTTGTAATTTATTATTATTATTATTTGAAACGTCTCTGACGTCTTGTAGAACGGATGGCTGCCACTTTCACGAGTCTGCATGTTCTAATTCTATTGTAAGAATTCCGTATTCTACCGTGGTGCTTCCTCACCTTGAATACTATTTCCCCATTTGGAATCCCTGCTGCATTGAAACTACTGAAAGAGTCCACACAAATTTTTCGTCTCCTTTCTTATAAACCTAAGTATGTCTTTGACAGTATTGTAACTATTATCCGGTTTTATCTCTCTTTGGACTCTTTACTTTCGAACAAAGTAAATTTATGGTAGTTGTAACTTTTGTACACAAAATATTAAATAATATGGGATTGGAAGGTTTTGGGGATAGAAAACAAACATAGTTTTACTTAAAATATATTGGATTATAGCAAATAGATTGTTGCGCTTAGCACTGTATTTTATACTAATAGGATTACACATTTTACGTTCGACGTTCGCAACGTTTCCTTTTTGTGATTACCCTCGGCCAGTTTTCTACTTTCTCCAGTCACGCCCTTAAATCTAGCGCTTTCAGCAATAAAGCCTCTTTCGGAGACACGTGGCTCGAAGGTTTTGCAGCTGCGGACCATCTGATGAACAATACGTGACCCTGTCGTAAATCAAAGTATCTAGTCCTAAGATCACGTTACGCGTGAAGGGCTACATTTTCTACTCCTACAATAGTTATAATAATTACCTCGATAATTAGGCAGTTAAAATTAATATTCCGCCGAGATCCTTAAGGAACTTTCAAATATTTCATTCTTCTACGTCCAGAGCAATAATCATCTATGTTTGGGGATATTTGTAAGCTGAAAATGTTAAGCTAGTTTCATTAACTTGTCTCGACCGCGTTCCTTACAGAGACGCGCCGTGAAATCGATTCCAGGGAAGCTTCTTTGCTATCCGTCCGTCTTATCCCGGGCTGCCTCGGGTTTCATGCGGTAATTCACGTTTCTCGACGCTCGTACGGGTAATGCGACCGCAGACCACTCGCGCATACCCGTTTCGCGATGCACCTCGTCGCATTGACCGTTTCCACCGCACCGGTTACTGATGAAGTAACGACCAAGTTCGCTCTTATCGCCTCGCACTTTCGATTTTCTATTGCTAAACGTGACTCTTACGCATCTTCCGGCGCCACTCGACTCTGTTCCTCGTTCGACGCTACAGCAACCCAAAACGATTTTCTATCCACTTGGCATCCGTAGTTTTGAGTGCTCTAACTTTAATGCGAGTGGTGTTTCATCAAGATCCGTCGAGTGGAACTTGAATATGTATAAGAATTTTTTTTCAGCGTCATTTCGCAATGAGTTTTCTTATCTGACGCGTTCTCTTCATTTCTAAGAATACCTCGGCTTTTTTCTAGTCTTTAAACTAACGATGAGAAGACATGATCACAACGCTTCGTCTGTGGATGCAACAAGACTTTGACCCTCAATGAGCCTCGTCAAGAACTTTGACCTGATTCTTTTATCCAAGAGATAACGATCTGCCATTGGGTCTCGTTGCACCCGTGCGACGAGGCTAAACGTCGCGTCGTCGGCTAGGATCGTCGTCTTCGTCTTGGTTTCACAGTCGAAACTAGGTCGGCGCTACTTTTCCGGAGGAAAATCGTAGCTAATCGTAGCTGGATCATGGATGAAAGGTTTAATAGGGAAAGCGATGAAATTGCAGTTCGGGTACCACTTTCTCGAGTTGCGGTAAGAGACCAGTTTTTAACGCCACGTTGTTCGATCGATTAATTGCTGGGCGTGACGTAATCCTCTCTAATAGGAAATTTTGAAACGCGTGATTAGGATGTAGTTACGAATGTTTGATAGCCGCGATTTTTAACCGACGAAACTGGGTCAACTCGGTGTATTATTTAAGAACAGGTATCCACTTGTAGCATACTCTCGTATCGTATCCCCGTTGCGTGTCGTTAAGACCGAGAAAGCGTTGCGTTACACATAAATCGTGCGTAATATATGTATAAAAAATATTATTATGGTATTAAAGAGTTTTTCGATGTCATGTTCTCTCAGATCGGGGACAGTCGATTTCTAAACAAAATTGGCTAATCGAGACACGTGTTGCGCGTGACAAATTCAATGAGCGAAATGGAATTGAACAGTTCGGAAACTTTCGGAGTCCTGAGGGAGAAATGTTAGACAATTGCATCATTTTTCTTCTTCAGATTTGATGATTAATAATATCGATAATTCTACGTATCACAATCTCTCTTTTTTTTTCTCGATCACGTTCAGTAATTTGTTTCTGCCTTGAGAAAACTCGTTAACTGAATTCGCCATTTCGAGGGTATAAGAAGCCCACCATGGGGTCGTTTCCGATATTTCAGATGACTCAGCAGTCCTGGACATTTCCCAAAAGTAATGGGCTTCTCGTTATTTACCTGGTCCATCGTCCTTCCTCGTCTATTGTTTTTATATTTTCCATCATTATTATTACGTGAGAATTGAGTATTATTTATCGGAAGAGCTTCCGAGAATAGTTGAAATAAGTGCTTCTTAATTTTCTACGTTGAACTCTCAATGGACATGCCGAGGCACGTGCATTACGTAACGCAACTCATATAGAGCGAGCTTAACTATACTTGGTTAAAACCGAACAGGTGGAACATTTAGTTCTGCTATGACGCGAATTGCAGACACGCTGCCAAGCAAAGCTTTTAGTTGCATCAGAGGCTCCACATGTACATAAATTAAACACGATCGATTAAAATTTACATAATTAAACAATTTCTAACGTAGCAATTTACTGTATCAATTCCATTCGCATCGCGTTTGCCGTGTCGCTGATAAAAATATTTGCATTTCGAACTATTCTACGAGTGATCAAAGTTTTCTGAATTTATCTCTGAATTAATGCGGAGCGAAGATACATGAAACGAAATGAATTTATTTAATCAGTCAGTTTGTGTACACTGAAAATTTAAATTATATGCGCTGCCGTATCGAATTGAAATTGCCTTAATATCTCTCGTTCGTTCGAAACTTTAATATCGTATGAACGAGGAAGAATTCCTGGTAGAAATTCGAAGTATCTGCGACATGCGAATACATTTCTACGAATGTGCCTTCGAGTTGGAGATTAATCGCGCGGAATACGTAACGTAACGTAATGTCGCAACGTGCAATCATCATGCGCGCGAGAGCACGCGGGAAACGTGTTCCGATCCCGAAGTTGGAGTGAGAGAAGAAACCGGCGTGTTCCTCGTGTGACCAGCTGAGCTGTCACGATCCGCGTGCA